AGTAGAGAGGGGTTTCACCATGTTGACCAGGATGGTCTCGATCTCTTGACCTCGTGATCCACCCGCCTCGGCCTCCCAAAGTGCTGGGATTACAGGCTTGAGCCACCGCGCCCGGCCCTATTATTATTTTTTTGAGATGGAGTCTTGCTCTGTCACCCAGGCTGGAGTGCAGTGGCATATTCTTGGCCCACTGCAACTTCTGCCTCCTGGGTTCAAGGAATTCTTTTGCCTCAGCCTCCCAAGTAGCTGGAATTACAGGCACGTCCCACCACACTGAGCTGCTTTTTGTATTTTTAGCAGAGACAGGGGTTTCACTATGCTGGCCAGGCTAGTCTCGAACTCCTGACCTCAACTGGTCCGCTCCACCTTGGCCTCCCAAGGTGTTGGGATTACAGGTGTGAGCCACTGTGTCCAGCCAGAATTTTTCTTAAAAATATTTCAGCTACTGGTCTAGTATGGCCAGGTTATTTTACAGATGGGGAGGCCCTGGAGAACAAGTTGGCCACAGTCCACGGTGAGTGCCTGGTGGTCAGTGCCAGGTGTTTCCTATTTATGCCTTGTTTGTTAATGAAATTAACTAAGGACCATCCAACGGAGCAGCTCTTTTCAGCCATCTAGCGCCATGCCCTTTTTACAGGCAAGCATAAGTAGGGATCCCCTGTTACATCTGGAATCTTCCTGGGAGTTAATATCATGAGGGACTCACTCCAGTGGGTGGTCTCTGTGCTTCCCGACCTATTTGTAGCTCTCTACAGAGCGCTTTCACTATTACTATGCCCTGACTGTGGCCAAAGCAATTGGGACCGACGTGTGGCAGGTGGCACAGGAGGACAAAGGCAGAGCTGTGATGGCCGCCAGCTTGGTTACACTCAGCCTTTCTGTGAGTGTTGATGATGCTCCCGTGCTAGGGAGCCAAGATGGCCTGGGTCCCGGGCTTGCCCCCAGAGGCTGCCGTCAGGTAGGGAGACTCCGTCCTCTCCACGCTCACAGGTGAGACTAACATAAGGCAGACTGGGCAGGAGGAAGGTCATTCTCATAGCTTTGGCCTTGCAAATGTGGTGATAATCACACCAGCAAGGCTGTAGTGCTTTGATCTGGGACTCATCTGCTCAGTTGAGGAGAACTCAGTTTTGGCCAAACATGCAAATGCTCCTTACAAGGGGTGAACTGCAGAGAGGGCGGGGCACGGGCAGGGATCCTGGTTTGACCCTGCTCAGCCATATCCTCTAGAAGCATTGCCTGAAAGCCTTTTCCATGCTGTGTGTGGTGCTAGGCACCTGGCACACAGAGACCCATTCCAAGGTGGGCTTCTGCGAGGGGTTTCCTGGGTACATGCACGTGCCAGCATCTACCTGCTCAGCTTCCAGTAAACTCAGATATACCTGAATTGCCATGGGCTCTCCCAGCAGCTTCCCAAGTATAATAACAGAGAGGTCATGCACGAGACCCTCACTAACCAAGCTGGTATCAACACAAGAGTTTCTGGTCATCTGGGGCTGCGGTTCTCAAGCCCTGCTCATCTCCTAGAGAACCATGTCCACAATTTTCATGGCTTCTGCTTTTATGGAAACCCCTGAACTAAATCAAAAAAAGACTTCATGAAGCTAACACCTTGCTTCTTTAACAATATTGACGGCTGGGCACGGTGGCTCATGCCTATAATCCCAGCACTTTGGGAGGCTGAGGCAGGCGGATCACCTTAGGTCAGGAGTTTGAGACCAGCCTGAGCAACATGGAGAAACCCTGTCTCTACTAAAAATACAAAATTAGCCTGGTGTGGTGGCACATACCTGTAATCCCAACTAATCAGGAGGCGGAGGCAGAGAATCACTTGAACCCAGGAGGCAGAGGTTGCGGTGAGCCGAGATCACACCATTGCACTCCAGCCTGGGCAACGAGAGTGAAGAGAATATTGCTTTACTCAATTTCTTTTCGAATTTCATGGGAAACAGTTTTGTAAATTTTGTTCTGTTAAAGAAATTGAAAAGAATTAAAGAAGGGCAGGAAGCCAGAGTTTGACTTCTGCCTTGCCACCTGGGGCCTGTTCTTTCCTCTCTGTCTCCCCACGCATAAGATACAGGGGCTGGCACAGGGGTCCCAGGCCTTTCCAGCTCCGAGATGGAATGCCAGAGACTGCAGCAATGGGGATTTTCTCTCTTAATGCCTCTGCCTGTCTCTCCCCTCACAGCCACATACAAGCCAGAACTCCCAGGAAAGCAGTCCTTCCTCTACAACGAGGATAAGAAATGGATTCCGGTGCTGTAGGGATGTCACACAAGATCGAAGAGAACCCCAGCCACCAGCCCGTCCTACCCAGCTTCCCCAGGACATCCCTCAGAAGGAGACCGATCATGTGTGTGGCAGCTGACAACTTGGGGGATGGCTCTGCCACTCTGGCCTGGTGTGGTAGCTGGGCTGCTGCCATTGCCTTTATCTCGAGCTGGAGACATTGCTCCTGGAGATTGCACCCCAGCCCCACCGACTCCAGTGGCTTCCTGAGCAGAGGGAGGTGGACAGAGCCCCCTGGCTGCTTCCCCACACAACCATCCAGGCTGGCTTCCGGCACGACTCCCGCTGCAGACTTAAGGATTCCTGAAGCGCAGACTTCAAGGAGGACCAGCCCACCATGAAAGTGGCCAAGCCTAGAAGCCCCACCCTTCCCTGTTTCATTCCTTCACTCAATTACACATTCATTCATTCCCTCACTCCTGACTTTCTCATTTGTCCCTTTCTGACCTCACTCACTCACGGTATGTCTGCTGGGTGAAAGCTAACCAAGTTGGTATCAACACAAGAGTTTCTGGTCATCTGGGGCTGCGGTTCTCAAGCCCTGCTCATCTCCTAGAGAACCATGTCCACAATTTTCATGGCTTCTGCTTTTATGGACACCCCTGAACTAAATCAAAAAAAGACTTCATGAAGCTAACACCTTGCTTCTTTAAGAATATCGTTGGCCTGGCAGCGATATTCTGATTTCAACACCTGCAGCCTGGTGTTGCTTTTTCCACCAGCCCACAGCTTCCTTTCTAAAGTGACCTCTGTTTGGAAAGGCCTCCCTTTACTCCTTTTAGACCTTTTTCTTCTTTGTAGTGGGAGATCATCTTAGAATGGCAGCGGCCAGGCTCAGGAGCTGCCCTTTTCCCTGACTTTCTCTAAGGGTGGGACCGAATTTTCTCAAGGCTTCTGGAGCCCTCCATGGAGCCCAATGCCCTTTCTAGGCAGGATATCCTTTGTCTCTTTATGTGGAGACAAAAAAGAAATATGCCCTGGTGGTTTCGGTGGAGGCTGCACAGATGCCCGGGGGGTGGGGAGCTGCCTGGCTCCTTTCCTGATCTCCAGGCAGGCTTTGACTGGGGCTTTGACTGATGCTAGAAGTCTCTCTGTGCATTAACCCCAGCAGACACTGAGCGGTTGCCAAGGCTCCGAGGCCTGCACGACTGTGGCCTGTCCAGAGAAGTGGCTCTCAGCCTTGACTGCACACTGTAATCACCTGGGGACTTTGAAACGTACTGAGGCCTGGGGCCCTCTCACAAATGCTGATTTAACTCATCCAGGGTGGTATCTGGGCAGTGGGGAGGAGGGAGGTGTGGGTAAAAGCTGCCCAGGTGATTCCAATGATAGGTGAATGTTGAGAAGCGCCACCTTCCAGCTTCCCAGCTGGCTCTGCTGGGCGGGAAGCTCAGGGGTGGGAATACACGTGCAGCACCTACAGCGTGGCTGTGGTTCCACACTCCTCTGTCATGTAACCTTCACACATCACCTGGCTCTGACATCAAGTGTGCTGTCACAGCCACAGTGAGGCCTAGGCTGAGCAGAGCAACTCTGGTGCTCCACTGAGTCCCTCCCACCGTGGCAGGCAAGCCACGTGGGAGCCTGAGACAAAAGGAAACATCAGTAACAGGAATCCTGTCTTAAAAATTGTTTTGTTCACTGTGGATTTTGTTTTGGCCTTAATTTTAAAAATATTGAATTAAACTTACTTATCTTGATTATTGAGCTTTTGAGCACCTGTTCGTTTTTGTACCGTAGGCTAGAGACTCACCTACCCATAGCCTTGACTCTAGGTAGGGCTTGGGAATTGGGACCACGGACTCTGTGCTGGGAGATTTTTAGAGGCATCATGGTTTTCACACTTAAAAAAAAAGTTTTCTTCAGACAAATGTTTACAAGAAACCCTAATATTTAAGTGGACCGAAACAGAGCTGTGGTGAGGGAGTTAGAGGGGATGCACAGGGCTTGCTGCAGCCCCTTCCTCACACTGTGGTGGTCTTGGAGAACCACCAGTGAGCCCTGAGGCTCTGAAGATGATAATTACAAACAACCAACAGAGACCGTGTCCTGCCCTTTATAGCAAGAAATGGAGGGATACAGGTAGCGGTGGCTGGTAACTCTGCTCTCCCAAAGGAAGAAAGACCCACTTCACCTTGGCAGCTTAAAAAAGATAAATGAAAACAAGCCTGAATCTGTCATTTGTTCTCGAAGGAAAATAAAGGCCTTGATTTGCAGCATTTGTCAAATTCTGACTGTCCCCATGGCTGATTTCAATGTGCCAACATGACCACACTGCTGCAGAGTTGGGAAGAGATGCATGCAATCGCTTCTGTGAGCGGTAGGAGCTTCTGGCTCCGGGGAAAGTGGCTTGGCCTGGAGAGTAGGGGCAGAGCTGGCACAAGACTCAGGTCATATGGCTTCCAGCCCTGGGTGCTGCCTGCTGGCCCAGCTGTGAGGTCCTCTTCAAGCTCATTCTGCCCCCTTCCCAGGACTTTCTCTCCAGAGTCAATGATCCTGAGGCTGTAACGTTCAAAGACAAAGATCTGGACATCAGGAATCTGCTGCCTGACGGAGGCGGCACCTCTGCCCCACTGGTGCCCTGCACATCCCACCATCCTTCAAGTCCAGGGCAACTTGCTCTCAGCCCAGAGCCAGAGTGAAGGGAGAAAGAGGAGCCAGGCCCCGACCACTGTAGCCCTCTCTTCCCAGCAGACCCTCCCAAAAGGAACAAGTAGAGCATGTGAAGTAATACATAGGTAGACTTTTATTACTAAATACCACGTGAGTATACAAAAATGCATCACTGAATAACAGCTAAAAAAAAGTCCAAGAAATGCGAAATACACATTTTTGAAATGATAAAAATGTATCCATGAAAAATATAAAATGTTGCACTTATATACAATATATTCATATATATATAACACATAATGAAAATCGTAAATAAGAAATGTATACAACAGTGAGTGGCAAGGCGGCAGTTATACACAGCGGTCACTTCATTCCAGTCAATCATTGGTGCTATTTACATCTTGCATTGAGGAAGTCTGTGAAAAAGACACTCTTTCACTATAGTGTCTTTTAAGTCATTTGCACTGAAAATCAAAAGTTTTCAAGTTAACTGACCAAAGGGTGAAAAATCCTTTGTCTGAAGTTGAAGGGAGACGGAGAGCGGGGCCGCACCAGCCGGTGTGGTGTTGTGGGAGGGAGCACATGCTGCCACCGTCTTTACGGGCAGCCTGCAGGAGGCCACTGCAGACAGGGTCTTGGGAGGAGGGAACAGTCTGTCGGGTGGGTAGTAACCACGGTGACATTGTTTTGGAAGGCACTGGCAGGAAGTTTAGAGAGCAGATTCAAGCATGCCATGGGGGTTCAGGCCAGGGGACCTCCCATGTCTCTTTCTGGCCCTGACATCAGTGGATTTGTGACTTAAGGGCCTCTTCTCTCAGAGAAGGCATTCAAGTAACAGCGCTGAGGCATGTGGAGAGGTTGTGTGTGGCGTGGGGCCATGTCACCACTGGCCCCTTGCCGGTCGCTAGGGTTTGGATGCTCAAAAGGCCTCACAGCTCCTTAAGGATGATCTGAATTTTGCCGTCCAGCTCCCCCATGTCCAGCAGGAAGGCAACGTGGTTGCTGTAATGCTGAATGATGTTGTTGTCCATGTTGACTAAGATTCTGAAAGGGAAGAGGGCATGTGGTTGGAACACAGCAGGCCCCCTGTTTTCAGGCCTTCTGAGTGACAAGGGTGAGTGACGGGTCATACCCAGTGGGTACCTGCCACATTTCAGGCACCTCACAAACTTTCCCTCTGGTCTTCACAACAACCCTGCGAGGTGGGGGAGTCACAGTCCCCTTTACTGCATGATGCCCGGTGGCAGAGCCCAACTCAACCCAGGCCTACTGGCCCCCACAGCCACTATGCCAGATTGCCTCTTTCCTGCTGCACCAGAGGATGGACACACAAGCAACCAGTATGTAGATCTAGGGAGACGCCATGCTCCCTCAGTCACCATATTGAGGACTCAGACCTGAAGTGTGAGTTCAAGTCCAGGATGGGTGGTGGTTTGGGTTCAAGAGGCTAGGATGTGTCAGTCAGGCGTCCCTGCCGGAGCCAGAGGCAGGTGCCACCCAAGCCCCTCTCAGTTCCATCCCCAGGAAGCTGAAATCTCAGGAGGATTGTCCAATAGACTTAAGGGGCTAGGCCCACTCTCTCCCCATATTCTCTAGGCAAGGACCTGGGTCAACCTGAGAGAGACAGAACCTTTGTGGCTGTGGGCCCCTGCAGGGAGTCAGAGCCATAGTTTTTGGCAAAGAGCATCCCTGTAGGAGCTACTCTTGATGAAAGACCTACCAAGATTTGACTTGAGCTGATCACATCAGCCTTCTCTTTGCCCCTTCCCTGCTGTCTTCTGAGCATGTAATGGAGTTGGGTATATCCACCCGCTCATTCACCATCCAACATCCATTCACATGCACATACCCCCCATCCACCATCCACCGAACCACACACTCATCATCCACCATCTACCATCCACCTACCCCTCCACCATCCACCTACCCATACATCCCCCCATCTTCACTGAGGCCTTTCCATGTGCAGGGCCTTGCTCAAAAACAAGGACCATATGGAGATGAATTAGACCTAGATCCTGCCTTCCAGGAGTTTTAAATCTAGTAGGGACTGGGAGGATGAATCCTTATATTACCCCAGTTCATAGATGAGGTTCAAAGAAACAAAGTTATTTGTCTAAGGACACACAGTTCATAGATGGCAGGCCTGGGATTTGAACCTTTGTCTCTTTCCACTGTATCATTTTTAGAAGGAAACAAAGCCCTATAGATACAAGTTAGGAAGCAGTGGATAGAAGGAAGGCAAAATCCAGGGCTAGGGGAGAGTTCTTTGAAGTGGCGCAGGAGTGGCAGGCACGAGGAACCCCTGAGGGCAATGGAGACAACAGGGACCCGAAGGCATGGCCCACATCCAGTTGTCTCTCCCAGCAGTCAAGCAGCTGCTGCTCTTAGGAAGAAGAGTCAGGCTTGGGCTCTCAGTGGTCTGGGTGCTGACTGCCAATGTGTAATCACAGGCTCCCCTTTCTTGGGTCCTGCCTGGAGTTCCTTCATTTCACAGAGGGTTCTTTTCCTGGGCACTGGAGGCTGGAAACAGACTAGGGGAGACCAGAACTGGGCAGAGGGGTGGGCGCTTTGTCAGCATCAGGGTTGTTTTGTTTGGTGTTTGTTGGGTGCTTCTAGGTGCCAGGCACTGTGTGTGTCTGATGTGCACCAGCTAGATGTCTGGATCCCTCCCACTCCCCAGCAGGGCCTCCCAGTGCCCTGAGCTCACACCTGCTCACACTTGCCGAGCTCACACCTGCACAAGAGGGCTTCCAGATGGGCCCACACACCTCTCCTCTCAGAAGTCAGTGGCAACGGGCCC